TTTTTTTTTAAAATTTTTATTTTTTTATTTATAATTTTAAAAACACCATAGCAAAAAAAAAAATGAATGATGTAATATGATAAAGCCCCTGTGTCGGGTGCCGGTTTTAGCATTTTTCCCAAATTTTTTTTTTATTTTTAATTATCCCTTTGATAATTATTTTATTTTATTTTTTTTTTTTATTTTTAATTATTTATTTATTTATATATTTTATTTTATTTAGATAGTTTAATACTATTATTTGATTTTTTTTTATTTTTTTTTTAAAATTTTGATTTTTTTTTTTTGTTTTTATTTTTTTATTTTTTTTTTGTTTTTATTCATTAATAAATTATTTAATGATAATTATCTTTTTAATATTTAACGATAAATAATAAAGTTTAACCTTTTTTATACATATTTATATAATAATAAATAATAAAAAAAATAAAAGGTTTTTTTTTACAAAACTAAAGTAAGTGGTTTATTTTATTGTCCATTTATATTTTTTTAATAATTACCGATAACTATCCAAAAAAGGAATGATATATACAAAAAAAAAAAAAATTTAATAAAAACAATTTGCATATTGTGTTTTTATAATAATAACTAAAGTATTTAAAATATTGTTTTAACACTTTTATATTTGTTCATTTGATGATATGTCAATCGTCGCCAACATATGTTATATTGGTATGAAAATACAAATTAATTAAAATTTTTTTTTTTTTTTTTTTTTTTTTTTTTTTTTTTTTTTAAAAATTTTTTTAAAATTTTTTTTAATTTTTTTTTAAAATTTTTTTTTTAAACGCCATCCCAATTTCATAAATACACATTTTAATAATACTATTTTTATAGAAATAATCATTATAAATTTCAATCATATTTATAATTTATTTATACATTTTAAAATTTTTTTTATATCTTTTTAAAAAAAATTATTTAAACACCCAATAATAATAAAAAAAAAAAGTAATTATTATTTCCCATCTCTATTATTTATAAAGACAATATCTATTTTATAAGTTATCATTGTGTTTCTTTACTCTAATTGTGTTATTAAATTTTAAAAAAGAGATTAGTAATATTTAATCAATTATATTTAGATTTAGTAATTATCTATATCTTTAAAGAAAGAAATAGATTTTTTTTTTTTTTTATAAAAATTTATGAAAACCACACTTAAACACATCCAAAACGATTAATTTTTTTTTTTTTCATTTTCCATTTTTTTTTTTTTAATTTTATAAATATTGTTTTTTTTAAAAAATATTGTTTTGTTTTTTTTTTTTTATAAAATTTAATTTAATTAATCATATTAAATTAAATTAAAGGAACAAACCAAAAAAAAAAAAAAAATTAAAGTCAATAATACTACCGCATTATACCAATAAAGTACAGTAACCATAGAATTAATTACATTATACTTTCATAAAACGATTTGTTAAAAAGCTTTGATTTTAATTGGACTCTAAATAAACAAGAAAAGATTTAAAGAAAATTAAAATTTAAGAAAAAAAAAATGATTATTTAGGATTTTTAAAAATATGTTTAAAAAAATTAATTTAATTATTGCTTATTTTTTATTTTATCTACAATTATAAATTTCATTATTCAATATTAATATTTTTTTTTTTTTTTTTTTTAAAAAAAATTATAGATTTATAATTCAATATAATAGATTCACATACAATATAGTTTAAGATTGTTTTTGTAATAGTAATATAAATAATTATAAATTGTAATAGTAGTAATTTTATTATTTTTAATAATAATAATAAAAAGTTTAATAATATCAAAAGAATAGACAATTTGTTTTAATTTATTTTTTATAAAACATATTTTCCTATAATAAAAAAAATAATAAAAATAATAATAAAATATAATTATTACAATATTTTAAAGTAAGTAAAAAAAAAAAAAAACCCTCCGAATTTCGGTGTATTAATTTTTTTTATTTATTTTTTTAAAGCTTAAAATATTATAGTTAATAAATTTATTAGTAATGGAATTAGAAGAATATATTAAATTATTAGGTGGTGATAAAATTATTAATAAAATTTTAATTGCAAATAACGGTATAGCAGCAGTTAAAGCAATTAGATCAGTCAGAAAATGGGCATATTCAAATTTTGGTAATGAAAGGATAATAAAATTTGTGGTTATGGCAACACCAGAGGATATGAAAGCCAATGCGGAATATATTAGAATGGCTGATCAGATACTACAGGTACCAGGTGGCAGTAATAACAATAATTATGCCAACGTAGATATTATCGTAGATTTTGCCGAAAGAGCACAAGTACAAGCAGTTTGGGCCGGTTGGGGTCATGCTTCAGAAAATCCAAGGTTACCTGACCTCCTAAGTAAAACTAAAACTGGTATTGTATTTATTGGTCCACCAGCAAACGCTATGCAAGATTTAGGTGATAAAATTGCAAGTACAATCGTTGCCCAATCTGCACGTGTAGCATGTGTACCATGGAGTGGCAGTGGATTAACAGTAGATTATTCAAAGTCTGGTGAAATTCCACAAGATATTTATAGAAAAGCCTGTGTCACATCGGTCGAAGAATGCAAAGCAGTTGCAGAACGTGTTGGTTTCCCTGCAATGATTAAAGCCTCTGAAGGTGGTGGTGGTAAAGGTATTCGTAAAGTTTTATCGATGGAGGATTTACCAAGCTCATTTAGACAAGTTCAAAGTGAGGTACCGGGTTCTCCAATTTTCTTTATGAAATTAGTACCAAATGCTAGACACTTGGAAGTTCAAATTGTTGCCGATCGTCATGGTGAGGCTATTTCTTTAAATGGTCGTGATTGTTCCGTACAAAGAAGACATCAAAAAATTATTGAAGAAGGTCCTGCTATTGCACCAACTCCTCAAGTTTGGGAAGAAATGGAAAAAGCTGCTGTACGTTTAGTTAAAGAAGTTGGTTATGTTGGTGCTGGTACAGTCGAATATTTATTTGCTGATAATCAATATTTCTTTTTAGAATTAAATCCACGTTTACAAGTTGAACATCCAGTAACTGAAGAAATTACAGGTGTAAATTTACCAGCAACACAATTACAAATTGCAATGGGTATTCCATTACATAGGTAAATATAATTATAATTATAATTTTATAAATTTTATATTAATGTTTAATTTTTTTTTTTTTATAAATAGAATTCCAGATATTAGAAAATTATATAAACAAAATGATTTGTTTGGTGATAATAAAATTGATTTAGAAAATTTTGAAAATAGATTAAAACCAAAAGGACATTGTATTGCAGTTAGAATTACAGGTGAAAATCCAGATGAAGGATTTAAACCAACATCAGGACAAATTCACGAATTAACATTTAGAAGTACACCAAACATTTGGGGTTATTTTAGTGTCGGTGCAAAAGGTGGCATTCATGAATATGCAGACAGTCAATTTGGGCATATTTTTGCAAGTGGTACAACAAGAGAAGAGGCAAGAAAGACAATTATTTTGGGTTTAAAAGAAATTTCAATTAGAGGTGATATTAGAACTCCAGTAGAATATATTATTCATCTCTTAGAAACCGAGGCTTTTAAAAATAATGAAATTCATACTGGTTGGTTAGATGTTTTAATTAGTGAAAAAATTCAAACAAAGAAGCCAAATACTGATGTAGTTGTTTTATGTGGTGCACTTTATAAGGCTTCAACTATTTTCCAAACTAGAGTTCAGGAATTTACTAATCAAGTTACTTTTGGCCAATTACCAAGTCTAGAATTATTACAAAATATTGTACCAGTCGAATTAATTTATAACAATATTAAATATCAATTTGATGTTTCAAGAACTGGCCCAAATAGTTTCTCTGTTCATTTGAAGAATGATCGTTCCGTTATTATCGATTCCACTATCATTTCATTATCTGACAGTGGTTTATTGATTTTATTGGATGGTGTAACCCATGTTTGCTATGGTCGTGAAGATGTCACTGGTTTATCTTTAATTATCGATTCAAAGACTTGTGTTTTTAGTGAAGAGTATGATCCATCTATTCTTCGTACCTCATCACCAGGCAAATTGGTACGTTATTTAGTCGATGACGGTTCATTGGTTACAAAAGGTACTCCATTTGCAGAAATTGAAGTTATGAAAATGTACATGCCACTTTTAGTACCAGAAAAAGGTACAATTAGATTTGTTTTATCTGAGGGTTCAGTTATGCCTCCAGGTGCAATCATTGCAAATCTTGATCTTCAAGATACAACATCAATTCAAAAATCAACAATTTATCAAGGTTCATTAACCAAAATGTCACCACCAACTTTGATTGGTGAAAAACCACATCAAGTTTTAGCATCCACTTTATCAAACTTTAAAAATGTATTTTGCGGTTATGAATCCAATAATTTGGTTCAATTAGTCGATGATACATTTAAACAATTAATCAATCCAGAATTACCAATTTATGAATTTAAAGAAGCACTTTCAAATATTCAATCAAGAATTCCTCAACCACTTGTCGCTTTAATTAATCAAGAATTAGACCAACCAGTTGAAACTTTTAATTCAAAACATTTACAATTATCAATCTCATTGTTTTTAAATAAATTGTTGTTAGAAAATGAACAATCATCCATTGCCACTTCAAACAATGTTAAACCAATTAAAGATTTAACAGATAAATATTTTGACGGTGTCAAATATGCATCAATAAATATCATCAAATCATTTTTAGAAGAGTTTATTCAAGTTGAGATCAGTTTACAAAATAAAAACATTCAAACTGTTTTGAAATCAGTTAGATCATCATACAAAGATAATGTTTCAAAAGTAGTTGATATTGCCCAATCATTACATCCACAATCTAAAAAATATAAATTAATTTTAATAATTTTAGATAAAATTCTATCAGAAGGCTTGGTTGGTGAATTTATCGATCAATTAAAGAAATTATCGGTATTGGGTGGTCAATCAATGGAAATCTCATTAAAATCTAAACATATTATGGTTCGTGCTCAATTACCATCAAATAAACAAAGATCAAATGATTTGAAAGAATCTTTAGTTTCAATTTTAAATAGTACCACAGACTCACTTAACGAAGATCCAAACGAAGATCGTGATAAGAAAATTTCAATTTTATCAAAACAAACCAACGAAATTAGCGATATTTTAATTCCATTTTTCAATAATCAACCAGATGATATTCGTCGTTTAGCAATGGAGGTTTATGTTCGTCATAGTTATCGTTCCTATTATGTTGAAGATACCAAAGTTACACTTTCAAATGAAAACGAATTATTCTCATTCATAGAATGGCACTTTTATATTAGCCTTCCATCTTCATCCTCCAGTCCAACCTATGGCTCACCATTAGTCCGTTCAAGTGGTGGTGGTTTCCCATCTCCAAGACCATCAGCAATTTTTAATGGTTTATCAATGTTAAGAACTGACTCTACAGATAGTTTAACTGCTATGGAGGATGTTTCAAAACGTCGTTATGGTATGATGGTTTATTTTGAAGATGAAAAGAAATTTGAAGAAAAATTACCATTTATTTTAAAGAGATATAATGAAGAAAATAAATCTAAACAATTAAACCTTGGTCAACAACAACAAGAAGAATCAACTGATATCCTTAGCGTAATTTTATCATGTTATCCAGATTCAATCTCACAAGAAAATCAAGCAATCAATTCATTCACAATGATTTTAAAAAATTATATTAAAGATTTATCAAATGCTCGTATTCGTAGAATTACATTTATTTGTTCAAGTGAAGGCAAACCATTAAAATACTTTACATTCAGAGAAAGACATCTTTATAACGAAGATCCAATCTTTAGACATATAGAGCCAGCCATGGCTTATCATTTAGAAGTTAGAAAATTAAGTAATTTCGATATCACTCACGTACCAACTCAAAGTCAAAGAATTCATCTCTATTATGCTCAAGAAAAAGGTAAAAGAGAAACTGACCCAGATGCCGATCGTTGTTTCTTTGTACGTTCAGTCATTCGTTATAGTGATCTCTATGGCCATTCAAATGAAATTAAAGTCGATATTTTATTATCTCAAATCGAAACTTTACTTTCCGAATCCATAGAAGCATTAGAAATGGCAGTTTCAAATAAAAAATATGAAAAAGCTCAAAATCATAGAATCTTTTTAAATATTATGCCAGAGGTTATGTTTGATGAAAAAATGATTGGTTATGTTGTTCAAGAGATTGGTGATCGTTTAGGTAAAAAATTATGGAAACTTAGAGTTGGTGGTGTTGAAGTTAGAGGCCGTATTAGAAAGGAAAATAATTTAATTCCAGTTCGTTTCTTTATTCAAAATCCAACAGGTTATGCTTTTCAAGTTCAATGTTACTATGAACAACAAAATTCAATTGGTCAAACTGTTTTCGCTGTTGTACCAGGTAGTGCAAGAGGTATTTGGGAAGGTTTACCAATCGATACACCATATCCAATTATGGATGCTGTTCAAAGAAATCGTTTCAAAGCTCAACGTCTTGATACAACTTATGTTTACGATTATCCAGATCTCTTTAGAGAAGCTTTACAAAATATTTGGATGGAATATATGGAAATTAATAAAGAAAACCCAGTTAAAGTTTATCCATCAAGCCGTGGTGTTTTAGAGTGTGTTGAATTAATACTTTCACCAGGAGCATTTACAGACTATCCACCATCAGTTCCAATTGATCAAATTCCAGATAGTGATGAATCAAAACCAAAACTCGAAGAGACATACAGACCAGTTGGTTATAATGATATTGGTATGGTAGCTTGGAGAATGACTTTTTACACACCAGAATATCCTTTAGGTAGACAAGCCATCGTTATTGCAAATGATATCACCCATCAAATTGGTTCATTTGGTCCACAAGAAGATTTATTATTCAAATTGGCATCCGAATTGGCAAGAAAAGAGAAAATCCCAAGAATTTATTTATCCTCAAACTCTGGTGCTCGTATTGGTTTAGCTGATGAAATTAAAAATCGTTTCAAAGTTGCTTGGAATAATGAAAATGATCCAACCAAAGGTATTAAACATTTATATCTTTGTGACTCTGATTATCAACAATATTCAAACTCTGTTAAAGCCTATCAAGATCCAAATGACTCTGAAAAATGGATTATTACCGATATTATTGGTCAAAAGAATGGTATTGGTGTCGAAAATTTAAGTTGGTCTGGTTTAATTGCTGGTGAAACATCACAAGCCTACAATGAAATCTTTACTATTACTTTGGTATCAGGTCGTTCTGTTGGTATTGGTGCCTATCTTGTAAGATTAGGTCAAAGAACCATTCAAAATGATGCTCCTATTATTTTAACTGGTGCCTCTGCTCTTAATAAAGTTTTAGGTAAAGAAGTTTACGAATCAAATCAACAATTGGGTGGCTCACAAATTATGTATCCAAATGGTGTCTCTCATATCGTAGTAAATGATGAACTTCGTGGTATTACAAATATTCTTCAATGGTTATCATTTGTTCCAAAGAATGTCGGTGAATTGGTTCCAATTATCTCATCTATAGACCCACCTGAAAGAGATATCGACTTTGATCCATCAAAAGCAATCAATGGTAAATGTGATACCCGTCATTTAATCTCTGGCTTCTACTCTGAGTTGGACTCTACACAATGGATCTCTGGTATGTTTGACAAAGATAGCTTTATGGAGACTCTTGGTGGTTGGGCCAATACTGTCATCACTGGTCGTGCTAGATTAGGTGGTATCCCTGTTGGTATTATCGCAGTCGAAACCAAATCTGTCGAAAAGATTATTCCTGCTGACCCAGCAAACCCATTATCAACTGAACAAGTTACAACTCAAGCTGGTCAAGTTTGGTATCCAGACAGTTCTTTCAAAACTGCCCAAGCTATCGCAGATTTCAACAATGGTGAACAACTTCCATTAATGATCATTGCAAATTGGAGAGGTTTTAGCGGTGGTATGAGAGATATGTTTGATGAAATCTTAAAATTCGGTTCAATGATTGTTGACAATCTTAGAAACTATCGTCAACCTGTAATGGTTTATATCCCACCATGTGGAGAACTTCGTGGTGGAGCATGGGTAGTCTTGGACAGTACCATTAATTTAGATATGATGGAAATGTATTCAGCCGAAGAAGGTAGAGGTGGTGTTTTAGAACCTAATGGTATCGTAGAAATCAAATATAGAGATCCAGAACTTATTAAAACTATGCATCGTCTCGATTCTAAACTTATCGAATGGGACAAACAAATTCCAATTGGTGTCAGCTTAAATGGTTTAGACCAACAACAAAAATCAATTAAATTACAAATCCAACAAAGAGAAAAGGAACTTTTAGGTCTCTATCAACAAATTGCAATCAAATTTGCTGATTTCCATGATACTCCAGGTAGAATGAAAGCTAAAGGTGTTATTCATCAAGTTGTACCTTGGAAATTTGCTCGTAAATTCTTTTACAATCGTTTAAAGAGAAGATTATTAGAAGAACAACAATTAAACTCTATCTCCAAATCAAATCCAAAATTAAATCGTCAACAAAGATTAAATTTATTAGAAAATTGGTTAAAAGAAATTTATATTCAACAAAAAGATCAACATAATTTATCTGAAAATCAAAAATTAAATCAATTTATTTCTCCACCATCTTTTGATTATAAAAATGATGATAAGGTTATATCATCAATTATCGAATCATCCCTCTCATTATTATCAGATAAAACCAATAATCTTTCTAAAAACCATATTGAAAATCAATTTTTAGAAATTATTCAATCAAATTCAGAAATTTTAATTGATAATTTTAAAAATATAATTCCTTTAATTTCAAATCAACAAAAGAATCATTTAATTAATTTATTATCAAATAATTTAAATAATAATAACTAAATAAATTTATTATTAATAAATAAAATATATTTAATTTATAATAAAATTATAAAAAATATATATAAAAATTTATATATATAAAAAAAAAAAAAAAACTTTTCATAATTCTAATTTTTAGTATAAAAAAAAATTAAGTACATATTTTTATTTATAAATTATTTTAAAAAAAAAAAAAAATACATTTTATCTATATTACAAAATAAATATATACATTATAGAGAATTATTTAAATTTCCTTGTTGTAACATTTGATTTAACTGTTGTTGAATTTGTTGTTGAATTTCAGGTTGTTGTAATTGAGGTAAATTTTCGATTGATGTAGTTTGTTGTTGTTGATTAACTATTGATTGTTGTTGTGGTTGTTGTGGTTGTTGTTGTTGTAGATTTATTTGTTGTAATGGTTGTTGTTGATTAATTTGTTGTAATGATTGATTTATTTGTTGTTGTATTTGTTGTTGTGATTGATGTAATTGATTTGTTTGTTGATTCCAACTTATAAAAGTTGGGGTATAATGTTTTTCGATTTCAATTCTTTGTTTTATAAATTGTTTTTGTTTTTTTGGAAGTGATTTTATAATATCATTATTTGTTTCGTAAATATCTAAATGTTCTCTACATAGTGTTGGTAATTGAATTTTAAGAATTGGATAACGACATTTCTTTCCATTTGGCATTTGATATGTACATTCACTAAAAAGTTTTTGATTTTTATCGAAAAGTATATGGCTAAAACAATAATCTGATAATAGTACTGAATTCATTTTACAAGATTCGAAACTACATAATTTTATTTTTCCTTCAACTTTTTGTAATGGTTGTAATGATTGTATTGATTGTAATGATTGTTCTTGATTATTTAATTGTTGGTGTTGTTGTTGTAAAAAATTTAATTGATTTTGAATAGTTTGTTGTTTTTTAATTAACTCTTCTAAATTATTACTTGGTAAAGATGATTTTGTTGTACTAGTTATATAATGTCTTCTTAAAATTCTTAATCTTTCTTTAAATCTATTATATTGTTTTTTATATAGTAATATTAATTTTGAAATATAAATCTTTTTTCTTTGTATAATTTCCTCATCTGTAACTAGGGATGATGATGCAAAATAAAAATCTGAATCAAATTCATCACATAATTGTGATAATCCACCATCTTCAACTGCTCTAAATAATTCAAAATTATTTTCTTCATCTGAATTTATTAAATCTTCATTATTTTGATTATTATTATTATTATTATTTTGATTATTAATATTTTGTTCAAATGATGAATTTAATAAATTATTATTTTGATTATTACTATTATTTTGTTCAGTATTATTAATATTATTATTTTGATTATTTAATATTAATTGTTTTTCATTATTTTCTTTTTGTAATTGTTTTAATTTTAATTTTAATTGTTCTATTTTTTCTTCTTGATTTTCTTGTATTATTTGTTTTTGTTTTTCTTTTTCTAATCTTTCAGATTCAATTTTATTTTGATTTAATTGATGTTGAATTTCTCTTTCTTTTAATGTTTTTTTATATTCTTGATGAAATTTACCCTTTGATAAACCATGACGATCTAAAATCTTTAATATTTTTGTTTTTGGTGATTCATCGGTATTAAATGCCTCTTCATTTTCTGTCATTTCTTTTATACGTTTCTTTGTGGTTTCTATAATATGTTTATGTGATACACAAAATCTTGGGTCATCCTCTTTAGCTGATACTGGATTTGTACATTGCTTTTGAGATTTTAGTGATATAAATTCACATTGTCTAAAAGGTGCTGTCGGATCTTCTAAAATATGTTTTATACAAAATCTATACCCTTCCATTGGTCTCTTTGAACATATCTTTTTCGATGAACCACATAATCTTTTACCATCTACTAAACTATTATCCTTTATACTATCATTATTATCCACTATAATATCATTATTCATTTTTATTATTTATTTAAATAAAAAAAAATTATTAAAACTAAAAAAAAAAAATAAAAAAATAAAAAAAAAATATATTAAAAAAATAAAAAATAAAAAAAATAAAAAATAAAAAAAATAAAAAAAATAAAAAAATAATTATAACTTTTCTTGTTTTTTTTTTTTTTTCTCCTTATAATTTTATATATTTATTTAAATAATTTTTTAAATAATATTTATTTATTTATATTTTTTAAAATTTACCATTATTTATATAATTTAAAAAAAAAAAAAAATTAAAAATCAAATTTACCCCCAAATAAAAAAACAAAACTATAAAAAAAGGAAATAAAACAAAACTATAAAAATAAAGTTAAATAAAACAATGTTGTAAAAAATTCTTTGTTTCAAATTATTAAATTAAAAATACCAAATTTTTATTCAACTTTTTTAAATATTCAAAAAAAAAAATAGATAAAAATTTTTAATCAATCTTTTATTTAATATAGAATTATAAAAAATTTATAATCTAATTGAAATTAACATTTTAAAATAAATATATATATAATTAAATTTTATTTTTTTTTAAAATGATATTTATCAAAATTAAAAATTGAAAATAAAAAAAATAGGATAAACCAAACTTTTTATTTAAATAAAAAAATAATAAACTATTTGGAAAATTACGAAATTTTTTATTTTCGTTTTTTTGAAGTACGTGACCGACCTGCCTACTTTTTTATTTATTTTTTTTAATTTTTTTTCAACTTTTTTTTTTTTCAACTTTTTTTTTTCGATTCTCTCTTTCTTTAAAAAAAAAAATTTAGTTTATTTTTTTTTTTTTTTTTATCTGTATACTCAGTATCATAAAGGTAAAAATTATATAATTGTAAAAAAAAAAAAAATTATTTGTTTTTTTAAATCGTTATTTATATAAAAATATATTAAAAATAGAATAATAATTGTAAAATATAATATAATAATAGTAATAATAAAATAATTATATTAATAATTCTAGTTGTAATAAAAATAATAAAAAATAAAAAAATAAAAAAAATTTTGGTAAAAAAAAAAAAAGAATAAAAAATAATTTATTGCTAAAAAGAAGAGAATTCTTTTATTCTCAAAAATAATAATTATGATAAAATTAATAAATAATAATAAATAATAAAAAAAATAATAATAATAAATGTAACATAAACAGATTCGTATTTTTTTCTCTATTGAAAAAAAAAAAAAAAAAAAAAAATATAAATTAAAATTTTTTTAATTTTATTTTTTCTATTCAATAATTATTTGTTTAATTGTGTGTTCCCACTAATAATAATAATAATATAATATATTATATAATTTAAATTAAATAAAAATTTAATTTTATTTTTTTTAAATTCAATTATTTCAATTTCACTTAATTATTTTTTTAATAATACTCTTTGTTGTATATAACACTAAAAATATAGAGTTTTAATAACTAATTTTTTTCTTTTTTTGAACAACCAAAAAAACTTTCAGTAATAAAAAATGGTTAACTTTACTATTGATCAAATCCGTTCTATTATGGATCGTCGTGAAAATATCAGAAATATGTCTGTTATTGCTCAGTAAGTATTCACTAAAAAAAAAAAAAAAAAATTATAAAAAAATATACTTATATATATATTTTTTTAAAATAGCGTCGATCACGGTAAAACTACTCTTTCTGATTCATTAATCCAAAGAGCTGGTATTATTGCTGATAAAGTTTCTGGTGATATGAGATACATGTCATGTCGTGCTGATGAACAAGAGCGTGGTATTACCATCAAATCTTCATCTGTATCACTCCATTTCGAAATCGCTAAAGACGACGAATTACCAGCTGGTTGCACATCAAGAGAATTTTTAATTAATCTTATCGATTCACCAGGTCACGTTGATTTTTCATCTGAAGTAACTGCTGCTCTTCGTGTTACTGATGGTGCTTTAGTCGTCGTCGATTGTGTCGAAGGTTGTTGTGTCCAAACCGAAACTGTATTACGTCAAGCTGTTGCTGAACGTATTAAACCAGTTCTTTTCGTCAACAAAGTCGATCGTTTCTTACTCGAACTTCAATTAAACACTGAAGAAGCCTATATCTCTTTCCGTAGAGCTATTGAATCAGTCAATGCCATCGTTGGTAACACTGATGATAAAAAAATCGGTGATGTCACTGTTCAACCAGAAAAAGGTACCGTCGCTTTCGGTTCAGGTCTTCACGGTTGGGGTTTCACTTTAGGTCGTTTCGCTAAACTCTATGCTGCCAAATTTGGTGTACCACAAGAAAAATTAATGACTCGTCTTTGGGGTGACAACTATTTCGATGCTGAAGCCAAAAAATGGACTTCATCCGAAACCTCAGCCTCAGGCAAACAATTACCAAGAGCTTTCTGTCAATTCGTTCTTGAACCAATCTACCAATTAACCAGAGCCGTCATTGATGAAGATAATGCTAAAATCGAAAAGATGGTCAAAACTCTTTCAATCGTTTTAACCCCAGAAGATATGGAACTCAAAGGTAAACAATTAGTTAAAGCCATCATGAGAAAATTCCTTCCAGCCGCCGATGCTATTCTTAATATGATTGTCGTCCATTTACCATCACCACTCGTTGCCCAAAGATACAGAGTTGAAAATCTCTATGAAGGTCCAATGGATGATGAATGTGCTACCGCTATTTCAAACTGTGATCCAAATGGTCCACTTATGATGTACGTATCAAAGATGGTTCCAACCTCAGATAAAGGTCGTTTCTATGCTTTCGGTCGTGTCTTCTCAGGTATCATCCGTACCGGTCAAAAAGTCAGAATCATGGGTGTCAACTACGTCCCAGGTAAAAAAGACGATTTATTCCTTAAATCCATCCAACGTACTGTTCTTATGATGGGTAGAAAAACTGAACAAATTGAAGATTGTCCATGTGGTAACATTGTTGGTTTAGTCGGTGTTGATCAATTCCTTGTCAAGACTGGTACCATTACCACCTCCGAAGTTGCCCACAACATTCGTGTCATGAAATTCTCCGTCTCACCAGTCGTTCGTGTTGCCGTCGAACCAAAGAATCCATCCGATTTACCAAAACTCGTCGAAGGTCTCAAACGTTTAGCCAAATCAGATCCATGTGTCTTATGTTATTCAGAAGAATCAGGTGAACACATCGTTGCTGGTGCTGGTGAACTCCATCTTGAAATTTGTCTTAAAGATTTAGCTGAAGATCACGCTGGTATTGAAATTAAAACCACCGATCCAGTCGTTTCATTCAGAGAATCCGTCTCAGAAGAATCTTCAATCATGTGTTTATCAAAATCACCAAACAAACACAACCGTCTCTTCATGAAAGCTTCACCACTCTCAATGGAATTACAAGATGCCATCGAAAAAGGTTCAGATATCTCATCCAAAGATGATGCCAAATCACGTGCTAACTATTTAGCTGAAAACCACGAATGGGATAAGAATGATGCCATGAACATTTGGTCATTCGGTCCAGAAGCCTCAGGTGCCAATCTCTTAGTCAATGTCACTAAAGGTGTTCAATACCTTAACGAAATTAAAGATTCATTCGTTGGTGCCTTCCAATGGGCCACCAAAGAAGGTGTTGTTTGTGATGAAAACATGAGAGGTATTCGTTTCAATCTTTATGATGTCACCCTCCACACTGATGCCATTCACAGAGGTGGTGGTCAAATCATCCCAACTGCTAGACGTGTATTATATGCTTCAGAATTAACTGCTTCCCCAACCCTCTTAGAACCAGTTTACTTAGCTGAAATTACTGCCCCAGAATCTGCTATCGGTGGTATCTATTCAGTTCTCAATAGAAGAAGAGGTATTGTTATTGGTGAAGAAAGACGTATTGGTACTCCATTATTCACTGTTAAAGCTCATTTACCAGTATTAGAATCATTCGGTTTCACCGCTGATTTACGTTCACACACTGCTGGTCAAGCTTTCCCACAATGTGTCTTTGATCATTGGGCTTCAATTGGTGTTGTTGGTAAAGATAAAAAAGCTACCGATGTTGCTCTCGGTGTTCGTAAGAGAAAGGGTTTAGCTGAAGCCATCCCAGATTTAGATAAATTCCACGAAAAACTTTAAGGTGTCAGTTCTTTCAATCAAATAGATTAATACATATATTTTCAATAAAACTTTAAATTATAAAAAATATAAATTTGTGTGTTTTTGGTTTTTTAAATTTTTAATTATGCTTTTGATTTTATAAAAAAAAATTTTAATTTATAGAAAAAAACAGAAAATTTTTATTATAAAAAAAGAAATCTTTTTTATTTATTTAATTTTTTATTATAAAGATCATATTGGCAATTAATGGCCAGTATTATTGTTTTTTATATAAATATTACATATATGGGATATAATTTAATAAATATGGTAATATAAATCCTGTTTTTCTATTTATATGACCAAAATAAATATACAAAATGTTCAACAATATTGCCCTAAAATTGCTTAGCTAAATTCTATTTTGGAATTAATAAAAAATTGACGAATTGTGGAAATAAAAAAAGTGAGGTATTGTGTCATAAATGGTGTAGTTAATGATTTTAAGTATATTGGTTATTGAAAAGGTCACATTATTTCTTTTTTTATTTTTAATAATAAAAATAAAATTATTAAAAATATTTAAATTAATAATAAATTTGTGTTTTTTTAATTTTTAATTTTTCTTTATTTTGAAATAGGATAATAATATTTGGAATGTATAATGAATTTTTAAGAAATTTATTATTATTTGTGCATAAAAATGTAAAATTATGATAAAATATGAAATCAAAAAAGTAAATATAATTATTTTACATATTTTTTCATAAAATAGCATAAAAATGTTAAAATATGGTAAACTGTGAATCAAAAAAATTAAATATAATTTAACTTATTTTTTTTTTGATAAAAATGATAAATTGTGATAAAATATGAGAGTTATCCAATTCAAAATTTTAAAAATTTATTCTAAAATTTTCTGTGTTTTTATATTTTTTATTTTTATTACTATTTATATATATTTGCACAAATTATAATAAAAATGTTTATTTTTTGTTAAAGCAATCACTACTCGAATATTCTTCACTATCAGGAGAGTCATTACAGGTTGCATTTTGTATTGCATAGACCTAAATTTTATTTAATGAGGTTTTGGTTTTTTCATCAGATGATTGATACAATGATTTTAAACTTTGGCTCCCTCTCATTCAATTCTATTAATTTCATTACAATATATTTAATTTTGTTTTCCTTTTTTATTTTTTCAATAGAAATAAATGTTTGATATGAAAAATTATTTCTACAGAGTTTGTAATGCTGAAATTGAAACTATTATTAATGATGGATGATTGATTGATTGATTGATTGGATGATTGGTTTATTATTTGGGAGAATTGTTTGATAATCTAAAATTTTTTTTTAAATTGTATTTGAAATCTGGATAGGGTTGTATTTGAAATTGTTTAACTTGGATCTTGGGCTGGTAAATAAATTTTTTTTTCACTTAAATAATCAATAACTTTATACAAATTTAGTATCTTTTCAAAAATTTGTTTTAAAAATAATAACAATACTGATATGATATGAAACTAACATTATAGAAATAATTAAAACTGTTTTATTTTAAAAATTTGGTAAAAAAAACTATTTTATTTAGAAATATTATTTTCTAGGTATAAATCAATAAGATGATCGCAACGATCGAATTTTTCTCTATGGTAGTTGAGATTTGGTTTCCTATAGCTTATAATACCATAAGCTGAAGGTAATGATGATGGTTCACCACGAGTTTCATTGAAAATGTTATAAATTGATGCAATTAAAACATAGTTTGTTTATATTTTTCGCACACATCTACAACCGATAGGTCCTCGGTCCACATTAGTGTTTACTTTTCAAGTATTTTCCATTTAATTGACACCAAGCTCTTTCTACTAGAGAACGATATTTTTAAATACTTTGGCTTAACTCACCCTGCATTTTGGATAAATTAGAAATAAAATATTTTCGCAGTATTGCCTAATTTTATGAAATGTTGCAGCAGCAACCAAAAATTCTGCATCCATAGATAAATATAAATTTTTGAGTTTTCCCCACAAAGAAAATAAATCCTCGAAACTTAAGCCAACAATTTTTTTATGCAAGCTTTCACTATAAGTGCAATAGTCATTGATAAAATAAACAATAAAAATAAAAAAATATTAGGTAAATTGCATTTATTTTATTTATTATTTATTATTTGCCAACTATCTATTGGCGCAGAGCCCCCTATATCATTTGCTCCTCTCCTAACAGTAAATCCACCTTTTCTCTGCCTCTTCTTCTTCCTCTACATCTAGTAACACCCCATCTAACAGCCAGTTCTACCTCCTCCATCATCTCCATCTTCATCTGTATCATCACCTTCACTTTCATCATTCCCTTGATTTTGATAATCTTTGTTCTCCATTTGGTTGTTGATATATTACCTAAATGTTTAGTTAGACATGAGACAATAATAATAATAATAAGTGGAATTAAAATATTCAGAGTATATATAAAAATGTTTACCAACATAATTAATACATCCACCTCTTTTTTACAATCCATGAAAACATAAATCTGATGAGTTTGTATCTATATTTGCTATATTTGAAAGAGAATTAAGTAGAGATCTTATAAATAGCTCTTAAAATACACAAGTGAGTCAATTAATTTGATCTATGTCTTTAAAGTGTTTACCAAATTAACATAATTGAATTGGCAGCCTGGTTTGTTCTAAAAAAGTTCGTATATTTTTGTCATATAATAATATTTATAAAATTATAGATTTTAAAATCTAATTGCCTTTTTCAATTACAATAGAAAAATTGGTTTGGTTAGATGTACATCTAGGGGCAATCATGCTGTACCGCCAATATGATTATTTAAAACAGTTTGATTAATTTACATTAACTAGTGGTAATACATCAAAATAGTAAAATTTGTAATTTTACAATAATAAACCTTTATTAAGGTAGATTTCATGTTTGTTTAACTATAATTATAATAAAAAATACTAAAAAAATATTAAAATTTTTAATTTAATTAAAAAAAAAAAAAAAATCAAATTTTGTGAAAAAATAAAAAATTAAAAATTAATAAAAATTAAAAATAAAAAACAAATCAAAATTTTTTTTTTTCACACCAAACTATCTGCCATTTTGCCAAAGAGCTTTAAAAACATGTTATAACATTGCAGATGTGTGTTTGGTTTGGTTCGGTTTATTCGGTAATGTTATAACATCTTTTTAAAGTTCGGTTCAGTTCAGTTCCATAAATTCATCATCCTGGGTTTCTGCAGAATTAAGATTGATAGTTGTTTCTTTTTTTAATACAAAAACTATAAAAAATTTTTTAATAAAAAAATATAATCTATTTTAAAATCAATAAATTATTTTAATTGTTTTTTTTTTTAATAACTTAAAAAAGATTTTAAATAGTAGTATAATATATAAAAAAAAAAAATTTTGAATTGATAATAATAATAAATTTATAAAAAATTTATTATTAAATTTTGAAATAATATTTATTTAATAAATTCTTTTTATGACTAATCTTTTGAATGTTTAGATCTACGGTTCAATTTACTGGAGCTTGAATTGTCTCTATTTGATCTTTTTCTACTTTTACTTTTACTTTCTTTTTTCTTTACTTCTTTCTTTTCTTCTTTCTTTACTTCTACCTCTGAATGTTTTCCCATCATATTCTCGTCTTTTCCTACTTTTACTTCTTCTTTTATTTCTACATTGATAGCTTCTTCTTCTACTTTTAATAGTGGATAAATTTTTTCAAATTTAGATGAAACACATAAAAAATTTGAAAAAATATCATCATCTTTTCTGATATCTATTGGGGGAAGTTTTATTCCTTTGTTCAATAGTTTCATAAGCATGGTTTCTGCAAATGTAAACTCTTTATCTTTACCACATTTATAAAGTCTATCCAAATTGTCTAATCCATATTGAATATCTTCATCACAAAAACCTAATGTTTTTAAAACTTTTGAAACAAAATCTCTGTTTGGATGTGACATTTTAAAATTTTATTATTGTTTTATTATTTAATAATATTATTTTATAATTATTTTATTGTTATACAATTAAAAAAAAAAGTAAATTAAATAAAAATTTTTTTATTTTTTTATTTAAAAATATTTTTAAAATTTATATTTTTATATAAAAATTAATCATTAAAACAAGTGTTACCAATTTTTATAATATATATTTTTATTTCCAGGTATAAAAAAAGAGTTAAAATTATACTTTTTTTTAATTTTTTCTTTGATTTTTATTATTTTATTTTATTTAATTTAAATTTATATTTTTTTTTTTTTTTTTTTAAATTTACATTATTTATTTTTTTCTCATTATTCAGTATAAATAATTTTTTTTTTTTTTATCATCATTTCATTATTTTTATTATAGATCAATAGTATACTTATATTTGAATTCAAATATAATAATTATATATTTGTATTTTATTATATATATTTTAAAAATGGGGAAAAAAAAGAAAAAAAATAACAAATGTAAAGATGTTTTTAAACAAACTATTATTATTACTATTATTATATTTAAATATACTATAATCGAAATTAAAAAAGCAAAAGTAGAAATAGATCTAATATTATACCAACATCATTTTACCAAGGCCAATGTTTAAAATTAATATCCGTCCAAAGAGCTTTTTTGAAGGAGTAAGTGGTTTTAGAAATGTTATAATACAAATTTCACCAATGTTAACTTACACCCTATTTATCTATTAGCTTAATTCCTTTTGATGTAAAATCACAAAAAGAAATTTTATTTGTTCATTTAACTAATATTTTAGGTAAATCCATCCCTAGAGAACAGCAGGAATTTATATAATAAAATTAGGTATGAGGAATTATCAAGCTCTATTATGGATCCAATAGTAGTAAAAAGAATTAATGAAATTGTTGATGGTGTCTTTCAAGATATTTCGCTCAATGAGTATTTTGAACACAAAGAGGAGCAATGGGAGGGGAAGAATTTTAATGAAGATTTCGTTGATGAGTTAGATGTTGTAAACAATATTGTGCATCATACTGGGTCCATTTATTAGAAAATAATAAGGTTAAGCCATCATTGGTAAAGTCAGTTCAATCTAGAATTAACTATATTCCAAAAATTTTAAAATTGGTTGATGAAATGGATAGAGAGGGGCTTCTTTGGTTTAGAAAAGAATTTATTATTGCCACAGAAAAAGCAAATAGATATGAATCAATAGTAAATTCAACCTTAACAAATTATTTGGTTACATTAAAAAGATTCAAACAAACCCAAATATGTAATCTATTTAGAGGTATTTTAAATAATGTATCAGATTGCCAATTATCAAAGTATCAAAAATTAAAATTATTAAAGTTACTTTCTAAAAAGATAATTATCAAAAAAAGAAAAAAATTCATCTAATTAAGCTTTATAAATGAAATCAAAATTCAAGTGGAAAAATCTCCATTCAAATCTTTAAAAGGTCAAGAATTTTATGAATTTATGAATTTATTTAATCAATTCTTATGATCTTTTTTTCAATGATTGATTTTATTTTCCAAAAAATTATTTTTTAATCAAAAATTAACAAAAAGCAATTATTACAGATTACACAAAATCAAAATAATAATAATATTAATAACAATAATAATAATGATCCTTATTTATTTATAAATCAATCAAGTCCGGTTATTGAAAAATCACCGAAGATTAAATCAAATTTTCCCTTGTACACCCTTTACACCTCTAGACTTGTTAAAATAGATCATAAATTTTTATAAATACAAGAGGAAGCAGATTGCATTATCAAGATTAAATAAAAATTTTACAAACTTTATAAAGAAAGCAGAACCAGATAAATATTCAGCTTTATTAAAATTCCAAAGAAATGGTTTAGTATCTGATTTGAGAGAACAAGTTGATATTTGTAAGTTTTTAACCTAATGATTTTTTAATTCTTTGAACAAAATATTTATTTTATTATTTTTTATTTCTATAGATATGGGCGATGCTGATTTTAAAAAGCCATTTAAATGGGCAATAATGGGTATTTCACCTAAATCTACCGAAAACCATTTAGCCAATTGCGGTTTCAACGATATCTCTACTAAAGAGAAGTATTCATCAAAGTTGTGTCATAGATGTGTAAAGAATAGCCACGAAATAGTTCACAGTATTTTAGATGATCCTTTCATTTGTGTAGACAAAATCAAACCAATCAAACCCGGGCAATTTCTTACCAAGTATAAAGGTTCTTATTCAGTCCTCCATTGTAAAGAGCATGGTTAAGTCGACAGAGATGTTAATGGAGCTGAAAACATAAAAATAATAGGTTTATTAGAAAAAAAATTCCCATGCCATAAGTTGTATTGCTTCACTTATGATCATCATAGAGAAATTTATGATAGAAATGATGTATCTAGTGAAAGGGGGGAGAGTAGCAGCAGCAGAGGCAATAGTAGAAGCAGCAGTAGAAGAAGTAAAAGCAGCAGTAGAAGCAGCAGTAGTAGCAGGGACAGTAGCTCTGAAGATAGTGAAGGTGAAGAAATTAATTACCACTTCCAAGATTGACCATTTAATTTCAATTTTTTGCTCTCTTGGTTGTCATCCAATGAAATTTCCATATACGAAAAGAAAATTCAAATATTGAAAATTACGGTTTATATTTAAATAGTAATAAATAGTTAGGAGTTTTATTGGGGGAAAGCTTGAATTCTCATAAAAAATAAAAAAATAAATAAAAAAAAAAGTATAATATGTTTTTATAATGAAAGTATGATTCTAAAAAAAAAAGTTTTTTTAAAAAATCTTTCTTTAACTAACACCAAGAGCAACATCGGTAGCTTTTTTATCTTTACCAACAACACCAATTGAAGCCCAATGATCAAAGACACATTGTGGGAAAGCTTGACCAGCAGTGTGTGAACGTAAATCAGCGGTGAAACCGAATGATTCTAATACTGGTAAATGAGCTTTAACAGTGAATAATGGAGTACCAATACGTCTTTCTTCACCAATAACAATACCTCTTCTTCTGTTAATGTTTGAAAAATTCTGCCAATTAATAATTTTTTTTTTTTTATCTTTTTTATTTTTTTTTTATAATTTTTTTTTAAATTTAAAACAAAAAAAAAAAAAAAATTTTATATATTTATAATTAGATTGTAAAAAAGTTAAACAAGAAGATAAAAAAATAACAATTAATTGTTATTGGTTAATGTATGTCCCACTTGTTTTTCTCTCCAAGCTAAAGTAGATTCTAATACTTTTCAAACTTATAAATATAAATTATCATAAAGACTATCTGTTAATTAATTTAAATAAAATCAACTTTAAATAATAAATAGATAAATATTTAAAAATATTCAATACAATTTTATTTTTTATGTTTTTAAAACATTGGTGTTTAAATAGAAACAATAGTACTTTCATAGGTGATACCACAAAGATTGGAACCTTGGGCAACATAAATATAACCTTTATCACCCCATCTATATAATTTTAAAGAAAAATAATATTAATAATTTTTTTATCTAAATATAGTTTCATTTAAAAAAGATAATATTTACGAGGTTCCCCAACTATTACGAATAATATAGTATGGAATTGGATTTGATGGATCAGTTTTATCAATATCTAAACCAACGACTTGGACACAATGATCAATGTCTATAGATAAATAAAAATAAAGGAAATTAGTTACAAAGTATATTTAGGAATTATATTTTTATAAATTATTACTTTGTTCACAGCCAGTAGTAATAATACCACCAGTATATGATTGCCATGTTGAAGCGTCAACACAAATAGAAACTGGACCATGGTTAGCAATTGTTGTAATTAAAGTATCTTCATCACTATTTTGGGTAACATATTGGAAACCGGTAATGGAAACAGCTCTAGTAGTGTTAAAGCAAGTACCATCTTGAGCAGTGTATGGGTAATCCTTTTCAGTTGAAACACCGCCAGCACTTATGATATAGTTGTATACATTAGCAGGATCACCGCCACCACAACCACCATCCATAGTATCACAATCAACTGATTGTTGTTCAGAAAGTAAGATAGCTTTATGGCCAGCTCTAATATATTCTGATTCAATTTGTTCAGTAGCACTAAAAATGTAGCAACTAATAGAGAAAAAAAAAAAAAAATTTTAAAATTTTAATTTTTAAATTTAAAAATTACTTTAAGAATAATTACCTTCCACATTGTCCTTGATCCTTAACTGGAGTAACAAGACCTTTATTTCTCCAATCAACTTGGTACATTGCTATATAGAAAAAAATTAATATTTATTTTTAAAAAAAATTCAAAATTTTAATTTAAAAAAACTTTACCTTTAAGACCATCATCAGTATTTAAATAACCACCAATTAAATTGGATGATGGATTTTCTGGTTTTTTGATATAGTCACGTTCTTCTTCTGGTTTTCCTTTAAAGTTTTTCATCAAATAAAAGTTTGAAAATTCTTCTTCGGATAGATCAGAGTACTTATTCATACCAAATGAAGCTTTCCCCTTGTGAAGATTATTTAAATTTTCAATTTTTTTAAGATTGGTTTTGAAATTTGAAAATCTTTTTTCAAATTCTTCAGAGGTTTCATAAATTTTACCATTTTGTTTTGTCCAATGATGGAATAAATCTTTTGATGGGCCATCAATTGTACGGTAAGCATTATTAATATTAATATTAACTGATTGGGCTACAAAAACAAAACAAAAAATAATTATTAAACTATATAATAATTTCATTTTTTTTTTATATTTATAAATATTTAAAAGATTTAAAAAAGATAAAAGATAAAAATAATTTGATGAATAAAATAAAATTTAAAAAAAGATTATTTATACTATTTTTTTATGAAAAAAATATATTTAAAAATAAATCTATAATAAATTAATTAATCATTCATTATTGGTTCAAAAAAAAAAACCTCTGAATAACTCACAAATACACTCACACAAATACACACACAAATACACACACTTACACACACTCAAAGTTGCTTTTTATTTGATGATTTTTATAACAATATTTTTCAATTGAAAAATCCTATAACTTTTTTTTTTTTATCTTTGCAAATTAAATCATTTTATAAAACCATTATTATAGTTTTTAATTTTTAGTTTTCTTTTAATAAAAAAAAATATTTTCAAATTTTTAATTTTTATTAAAGCTATAAAACAATGGGTAAGTTGGTGTATAAAAAAAAAAAAAAAAAAAAATTTAGTTTGATATGATTTGGTTTAAAAAAAAATAATTTAAAAAGTTTTAAATATTATTTTAGTTTTTTTAATATTAAAGGTGGGTCTTATTGTTATTGTTGCTATAAAAAAAATTATTAATTTATTTTTGGTGTAAAAGATTAGAATGGGGGTGAGGATTTGAAAATTTAAAAAATATTTTTGTTATCCAATAAATTATAAATATTGTTTAAACAATTTTAAAAATATAAAAAATAAATAAAATAATAACCATAAAAAAAAAAAAGATTTATTTTTAAATCTTTTTTTTATTTTATTTTTTTTTTAAATTTTAATTTTAACCAATTATATACAAACTTTACAAATTTTAAAAAAAAACAATAAATTATAGATTTAAAAAAAAAAAAATAAAAGTTTTTTTAAAAAATAAAAGGTATATTTATAGTTTATTGTTAATAATTCAAATAATCATTAGAAATTATTATTATTTATTTAAAAACAATTTTATATTTTTTTTTAAAATATTAATAGTTATAAAATATTTTATTTTAATTTTTTTTTTTAAATTACAATTTTAAAAAAAAAACTATAAATAATTTTTAATTCAAACAAAAAAAAAAAATATCAAAGTATAAAATCATCACATATATATCATAATATATAAATTAAAAACAATTCCAATCAATTCAATTTTATTAAAACTAATTAAATATTAAATATTAAATATAACTATAAAATGTGGTGGAGAATTCAAAATCTTAAAACTGCCATTGGTAAAAGAAGAGTTAGAAGAGATACACTTTTAGAAGAAGAAATAAACCATGAAAAAATTAGAAACTCAAGAAAAAGAATTAACTTTAATTAAAAGAAATTGTCAAATAAAATAATTTAAAAAAAATAATTTTTATTATATAATTTATAATAAAAAAACAAATGTAAATAAAAATAAAAGTTTTAAAGATAATATATTATTTCTAAGTTTAAAAAAAAAGAAAAATTTTATTTATTTTATAAAAAAAAAAACTATTTTTTTTAAACTATTTTTTTTTTTTTTTTTTTTAATTACAAAAGAAAATTGATTATTCAACATTAATTGGTTTTGAATTTGAATAACTTTCTTTTGGAATTGTTATTTTTAATAAACCATTTGACATTTGGGCTTTGATTAAAGTATTATCTAAATTTTCTGGTAAGATTATAGATTTCTTAAATTCATATATTTCTTCTGTTTTGGTTTCATTTGAAATTGATTTGTTTGAAGCTTCGATATTTAAAATATTATTGGCATAGTCAAGTTTTACATTTTCTTTGGTGATACCTGGTAATTCAACAGTAATGGTAATACCTTTATCATCTTGTTTAGTTTCAGTTATTGGAGTTCTAAAACCTTTATTTTTTGAAAACTCTCTTCCCCATTGCTCCATTATATTTTCAATCTTGTTAAGATATTGAGCATTGTCACCATGGTTATGTTTTTCATAAAAATGTTTAAAACATTCATTAAATCTATCAATTTTTCTTAGGTTTTTATCCACTTTTTTAAGAAAAATTAATATTATTTTAAATTTTTATATTATAAAAAAATATTTTTATACTATACTTACTTGATAAATCAAAATAAAATGGTTTATTACGATCATTTTCTGTAAATGATGCATTGGTAGTATTAACATTAAAATTATTTGTTTTATTTATATCCATATTTTCTGCTGGATAATAACGGCCATAGTATTTTCCATTTCTTCCACAAAATAAGTGTCTAAAAAAGAATCTTGGAGTTTGACTTGCTAAATACATTATTAAAATTATTATTTAAAATTATTTGATTATGTTATTTGTTTTTTTGTTTTTGAATGAAAAAATAAAATAAAAAAAAAAATATTATTTATATTTAAAAAATACCATTTTTAAATTATATATATAATTTGTTAAAGTTGTAATCTTTAGTAGTGGTACTACTTAATTATTACCTATAAAAATTAATATGAAAAAAATGTTAATACAAAATGATTACATGGACTGATTATTTGAAAAAAATTTTATTTTTGGAACAAAAAAATTAAAAAAAAATTAAAAAATAAAAAAAATTTTTTAAAAAAAAAAAATAACACACAATTGTAAAAATTTTTATTAAATTTCTTGAATCATTATAATAATAATTATGTGTATAAAAGTAAATATTTACTTTTTATTGGAATTTGTTATAATAATTATGACCAAAATAATATAAAAAACAATTTTTACAACAAATAAACGCGAAGATAATCTTCGATTACAATCTATGATTTTTTCTTTAAAGGATTTCTTTTTCTTCTTTTTTGCAGTAGCGTTTTCATTTAATTTTTCATATTTAAAATTATTATTATCAACAAAATTTGTTTTTTTTATTACCATTTTTTATCTTTTATTTGTCTTTATTTCATATTTTTTTATTATTTTTTCTATAAATATATTCTATTTAAAAAATTATTAAAAAAAAAGATTTAAAAAAAAGACTTGGGTTCCCTTTTATTAAAATTTTTGAAAATGAAGATCAATAATTAAATTTCTTTTAATATTAAATTAAATTATAAATTTAAAAAAAAAAAAAAAAAAAAAATATAAAAATTTCTAAAAAAAGTAATTATCTTTATCGGATTTCATTTTTTTTTTTTTTTTATTTTTTTTCTTATTTATAAATTTTTTTTATTATGTTTGTTCATTTTTTTTTTATAAAATATAATAAATAAAATAATATTATTAAACAATAATAATTAAAAAGAAATGAATAGCAAACAATATTTAAATTATGCAAATACAAAAGACACAGAATGGAGTGTAGATGAAAATGAAAAATTAAAATTAGCAATTAATTTATATGGAAATTTAAATAAAGAAAGATGCGAACATCTTCATCTCCATGTTCTCCCATATAAAACTTCAAACGAAATTCAAAAGAAATATTATGAACTATTAAAAGAAAGAGAATCAAGAAACAATGTAACTTCACCACAAATGAAACATTCTCATAATAACAATAGCAATAATTTATATTATAAAACCAATACCTCACCCAACATTAAAATCTACAGTTCCATTAATGGAAGAAAGAGATAGAAGTCAATCCCCAATGTAAGTTTTTACACTTTAAATTATAAATTATCTAATTTTCTTTTAATATAACTAATATTAATTTATATATAGGTGCTGGGCAAATAATTAATTAAAAAATAATTAAAAAAAATAAAGGTTAACTAAAAACTATAAAATTTAAATAAAAAAAAAAATAAAAAATATTTAAATTTCTAAAAATATATAAATTCGTATTTATATTATTATTTATTGTATACTATTATATCTATTTCTTAAAAGATGTGTATTATTTCTGTTAATAGTAATATTGTTGTTAATAATAATATTATTATTATTATTATTAGTATTATTATTATTATTATTATTATTATTATTATTATTATTATTATTATTATTATTATTATTATTATTATTTAAAA